TACTGTTCTTCAATGTTTAATTTATGTTTGAATAAATCCATCAAGTTTTTATGACAGCCACCATTGTTTATATTTCAAACAAATTAATTGAAGTAGAAATATTATGTAATTGTAACTTTATTATTTAAAAAACTTAATTTAGTGTAATTTTAACAAATCAGTCAATTTTAACCTCCAATATTATAGTAATGTAGTGCCAACTGACTCTCGTTTGTATTTTACAGCATTAGTTGAGGGATTTTTTTTCCTTGAGAAAATTTGGCATGTACTGTACCTGATATATATCCAAAATAATCGATATTGAATCGAATAGAATCGTATCGCAAGCTTGTGAATGAGAATCGAATCGAATCATGAAATTTGTGTCAAAATACAGCCCTAATTGCGATATGATTGGATACAACTGGTTATGATCAACTGTGATTGGTTTATGTGATAAATCCCGCCTCTTTTGCGTTCCCCGTTTGCGAATCAGTCTGAATGAACAATATAACGGAGTTAATGGAAAGAGTATTAAAAAAGTAAGTAAACAACTCACAGTTATATATCACCACTTTGTCAAGTCAAAATCAAACTTCAAATGGCCTGAAAACATGATCTGTGGGGGTTTTTAGTGATCAATCAGCTTGTTGAAATTAAAGGTACATCTCCGCATCTGTGACCAGTGTTTACCGAGCTCTGATGACTGATGATCCAAAAATAAGTTTATTATTACAAAGAACAGCTGAACATCAGTTTATAAATAAAATATATATTTGTTTAAATAAAATATATTGTTTAAATTGTTACTGCCTTGAGTTATTATTTTGGAATACATGCAAAATGCTTAAAAAACACTAAACTGATTAGATTTATACTTGGTTTTAATAAATAGAATAGCCTATTAATTACATTGTTAATGTAAAAATAGAAAATAGATTTTTATTCTGGTAGTGTAAGTATTGTTTATTTAACCAAGAATATGGGACATGCATTTACATTTAATAATAATAAAAAAATTAAAAAACTGAGGACTTTGCCTCCTCATTTCAGAACTGCACACCACTGTATTACATGTACATATTTATTTTGAGTCAAATTAGTTAAATGTGTTAAATGAATGTAATGGAATTTAAAATATTTAATTGTCATTAATTACATGCAATAAAATCAACTGATTAATAACACAAACTCAATATTTTATGAATCTTTGTAAACATTAGTACGTTTCTAAAGTCTTTCATATACATATACATGTCAATACATTAATAATGTGTGTTTTTAGTGTCAATACCAGAGTTGGTCAAAAGTTTTACTGTGAAGGGCCAAAAATCTTTAGAAATGTAAAAAAAAAAAAAAAAGTGGCAGATAAAAGTACAGTGATAATTTTAGCAAATGGCTGCAATATAACAAAGAGTGAAAAATTTAAGGGGGTCTGAATACTTTCCGTACCCACTGTATATATATATATATGTGTGTGTGTGTGGGTGTGTGTGTGTGTTGAATACATGTTATGGAATTGAATGCAATTAAATCAACCGATTAATAACAATATTTTGAAGACAAAAAGATTTGTAAACATTTGTAAATTTCTAAAGTTGTTAATGCTGTAGGCATATAATATCTTAACAATGTATGTTTCAGTGTCTATATCAGAGGTGCCCAAACTTTTTACTATGAAGAGCCAAAAATCTAACTTTAAGGCTTTGGGCTGATACTAAATGCTGCATTATGTTCAACTATGATTATAAATAATTGAATGAATGATTTAATGAATTATTGTAGGAGCTATATTTGCATTAGTTGCATTAAGGTTTTGATAACTCTTTTTCTCTCTTCTTTAAGCTAGTCCAATATTGGCAGCATCCACTCTAACACCTGTCACCCTGCATTGAGCGGCCGAGGTGCTAATATAGCATGCTAACGCACAGTTGGTGACTCACATGCAAACTGGAGGCTCGCTCTTCTGCTAAGAATTGCTCCCTGTGGGTTGAAGGCAATGCACTGGTATATTCCTCCATCCTGGGCACGGTCCAGACTCCTAATGACCAAATTTCCTCCAGATAGCCGCCGACGGGAATCGGTGCTGAGATTAATCAATGTGCCGTTCAGAGACCACCTACAGACACACAAACAGACAAATGATAGTGCACACAGCTCAATGCTGATTTTGAGTGATTTTTTGTGATAACTTTTGAAATTTATTTTGTTTTGGATGTACAAATGGCATATGGAATATCAATGAATCATTACAAAGCATATTCAGATTGGTATAACACTTCATCCCTGATTAATTTCAATAAGAAAATAAACATTTCAAAATCTGAACAGTCTGATGGCCTATGAAAATGTTGTGAAGAAAAGCTACATGTTTCACTTGGAAATGCATCATATTATACAGGTAAAATCATTTGCAAACAGCAATTCACGTTGACTTTTTATGTTGAAAGATTTCCCGCAGCTCTTTTGCTGTCCTTTTCATTGTGCAATGATTAGCGCCAGAGAGTATCATCAATTCCACTTTCTCACGCCTCATCTACGCCTATCATTAAGACCTAAGACCCAAGCCCACCTGAGGCCCTAACCACTAGCATGCAATTCAGAGGCCAACCCGCTAATGTGGACAGATTTTCAAAGGGTGCAAGATCATTTAAGGATCCTGAGGTCTCACTAGTCATTCACTCTGACAGGGTGTCAGCTGGCTTGAACTCCCATAGTTCAACTGTGTCTGCACACCCCAGGAACAGATGCTGTGTGCTAATTTACTAGCATGAACAGTGAATGCAAATAAGCGAATGGAGGTGCAAATACAAAAACAAAAACGTATTGAGTTGTGATCAAGGCCCCCCATTGTCCACAACAATATTCAAAGGCTCTATGACTTTCCCAGCTTGCAATTTACTGGACAAGGATTAAGCATGAGGATTTTTACAAATATTTTTAACGCAGTTGCTGACAAGTTATAATGAAATAAAAAATGTCTCGATTTGTAGTTGCTTTAGTTTAATGTTTGTTTTGCCTGTAATAAAATAAAATAATAAATGTATTTAATAATTAATATTCCACATTTATGAAACAACATTCCTCTCATATTTCCAAAACAAGATTTCTCAGGATCACTTCTGATCTTCATACTGAGGAAACAACAACAACAGCAACAACTTTTAAAATATTGGCAAGTATCCTTCAAATGTTTTGTTTTTATTAAGTATTGCTTTAATTGGGTCAAGTGAAAAATGAGTGGATTCTGACTAACTTAAACACCTCTGATTGGCACTTCAAGGAAAGTGATAAATATGAAGTGTTTGAAAGCAGTTGCAGAAAGGCTGGTATTGTTACATCTTTAAAATTTACACCAATCTTGACTTTTCATGGCCGACTCCAATACCGATTTGTTAATATTTATTTCATTTTTTAAATCAAGAGATAAGATAGAATTAAAATATGAATATATGAACAAGACGTGTTTTGCTCTATTACAGGCCGAACTCTCTGTAGCCATTCAAAATTAGAGACACACACTGCATTTGAATCACAATCCAAATAAAGATGCTACATACATTAGCAGTTTCTGATTTAATGGGCTTTCTGCACAATCACTTCCACGTTTTGCCTCAGCCGCTCAGTTACATTCGGTGCAGCACCAGAAGCCATTTTTGCTATTGGTGTTAACTGTGGAGACACCGCGGGAGAAGCTGATATTTTACACTCACTTTTTAAAAGAACTTCCCCAGATTACTGTGAACGATGTAAATCGCATTGTGAGGCAGTCAGCTGTCACTCCTAACAGCAAGATGGAGAGGTTTCGAGTTTCATCGTCACTTTGAGGGTGAGTTTTCTCATGCTATATTCAACTAGCGAAACTAGCTAAGGCCCAGTTCCCTTTCAGTCGGTCACTATGAGTCACGTGCAATAATTGCATGCCAATGTGCATTGGCCCGTTTAGTTTACACTCGAAGTAGATTGGTCTATCGAAGCGATATCCCAATTCGTCAGTCACGACGTTACGTCTCCGTTCCCTCCTTCAGGGAACCAGGGTTACCATACGTAACCGAGACGTTTCTTACAGTTCATACCTGTCATTTCATTTTGACTGATGTGCTTGTTTATGCAACGTATACGATTTTTGGCCTATGTATATTAACTGAATAATTTCTCAATTTCTAAGAGGAGTCAGGTGACAATGAGAGATAAGCGTGAGGGTGTTATGTTTCAGGTCAGTGAGGAAGGCAAGATATTAGCTTAAGTCTGATTTAAATGCTCGTTTTATATAACCGTTTTTGAGGTTTCTGTACAAAGACAGAGATTAAGATTTTGAATTTGGGTATAGTGCTCCTTACAGTATATGGATATGCAAATAGAATATTTCAATATTAAACAATATTTAATATTTAACATATTTCTATTTAAATGTCCATTAAAATATTGAACAAATATTTAAATAGAATATTAATACATGACTTTTGTTATAGTTTAATTATCTTCACAGTGTGTTAAAGGACTCGCTCCCTGTATTACTGTCCCGCAGCATGTTGTTCCTGTGATGCTGGGACAGAACTGTGTGACCGCAATAATGCTGCACTACTGTACCAGACAGCACAACACTCGCAGCTTGGCATCAGTGAAGTTCCTCCTGTTCATAGCTGCATTGAAATAAACAGAGCTGGCACAAACCTAGAACAATGGTAAGTTTAAGTGAATTATTTCACTGTAAAAAATGACCGTGAATTTAACGGTAAAAGATTGTAAAAATGCCACAGTAAAAACCTGTTAAATGGTTAACGGTAAATTCCCCTACTATATACAGTGAAAAACGTACTCCGTTACTAACGTAACCTCGGTTCCCTTTCGATACTTCACTCTTACTGCGTCTTGCTAGACGCATATGGGAACAGTCCAATCACGCCGTGCTAATGTAGTGGAATGACTTAAGGTATAACTTCCATAAGCAACCAATGCTTATAGAGAAGTCAACAATAACCCAAGGCTAAAGCGGGCTGAGCTTTCTAGGTCACACCCGGCCTGGTTAATCGTTCCAGAGTATACCCGTAACCTCGACACCCAGGGGTCGAGAGCTAACAGGTGAACAATGCCAGAGAACTTGGGCGCGGTATGGCCAAGGGCTCTCTGTCATGTCTGTTGATGCAGCGTGTGCCATTTCAAGCGGAAAGGACCCTGGCCTGTAAGGCCGGGACTTCCAGGTTATAAAACCTCGCAAATGTGGACGGCGAGGCCCAGCCGGCCGCCTCACAAATATCCGCAATGGACACACCACTGGACCAATGGACACACCACTGGACCCACGACGAGGCGATGCCTCTAGTCGAGTGGGCCCGTACTCCAATGGGGCATTGGAGGCCCAAGGAAGAGTATGCTAGCGAGATGGCGTCTACTATCCATCTAGAGAGTCTTTGCTTCGTAACCGGAAGCCCTTTGGTGCGGTTACCGAAGCTGACAAAGAGTTGTTCCGATCGCCTATAGGGAGCGGAATGCTCAATATAGATTCTCAGCGCCCTGACGAGGCAGAGCAGAGATAGCTCTCTGTCCTCTTCAGTTGGAGGAAGCGCGGAGAGCGTAATGACCTGTACTCTGAACGGAGTGGAGAGCACTTTAGGTACATAACCGTGCCTCGGTTTCAGGACGACTTTAGAGTCGTTAGGCCCGAATTCCAGGCAGGCAGGGCTAATTGAGAGCGCCTGCAGGTCGCCTATTCGCTTTACTGATGCTAGTGCTAGAAGCAGAGTAGCCTTCAGCGATAGCGACCTAATGATGGCGGACTGTAGCAGCTCGAAAGCGGGGCCCTTCAGGGCCCTCAGCACAGTGGGCAGGTCCCATGAAGGGACGGTAGGGGGACGAGGCGGATTCAGCCTCCTTGCACCCTTCAGGAAGCGGATGACCACGCTATTTCTGCCCACTGATTGGCCCTCAATAGGGACATGAGAGGCCACTATAGCCGCCACATAGACTTTGAGCGTGGATGGGGAGCGACCCTTATCCAGCAGCTCTTGTAGAAAAGACAGCACCTCTGCTAATTCGGAAGTGAGAGGGTCTTTGCCACGGTTTAAACACCAGGCAGAGAAAAAAGACCACTTTAAAGCAGAGAGGTGTCTCGTAGACGGAGCTCTAGCCTCCGAAATTGTGTTTAAGACTCGCTCTGGGAGGCACGAAGGCTCCCGTTGAGCGGCCAGAGGTGCAGGGCCCATAGGTCGGGCGAGGATGCCATAATGTCCCGTTCGCTTGAGAGAGGAGATCCCATCTCAGTGGAACAGGCCAAGGGGCCGCTATCAGTAGCTGAGTCAGCTCTGATAGCCACAGCTGGTTCATCCACAAGGGGGCTACCAGGAGAACCCTGTGTTTTTGTTCCCTCACTCACCTGA